ACTTGGCTGCTTGAACCGTGAGCTGCACAGTTCGCGCCGAGTTGACTTGCCTGGCGCTAGTTGGTTTGCCCACTCAAATTTCATTAGCCTCATGCGCTACTTATACCAAAATCCTGAGACTTAATTGCAGTTGATTATTTTGTTTCCGATTACCCATTGCGATAGCACAACAGATCTGGAGTTTGTGAAATAGACTCCCATGCTCTTAAATTCTGTGTGAAACTCACTCTCTTTTTCTAAGTTAATTTTCGGAAATGATATAGTAGTGATCAATAACTACAATCACTAATTTCTGAAGAAACATAATAACGGTAATCCTTCCTTTAAGTTTTGAAAATCACATAGAAAGGCGAGAGGAGCGGGTATAAGAAAAAGAGAGCTGCAGCGAAAGCATGTGACAGTCTTGGAGCAGAAAGAAGATTTATTATTTGAACAAAAATACATACATACGTTTTATTATATACTATACACAAATTTCTGATAACTAAAATTAGTCTATAATTTTTATTTAAAACTTAATGTTATTCATTTCGTTTTTAGATTCTCTACACTTAGAAAATTGTAAAAACTTTGCGCAGATCCAATAAAATGTTTGCCTCCAACTGTGCAATCAACTCATTTTATTGCGCATTTTGCATTTTAATCAACCCTACCATATTATTTAGTCATAAATTATGCGCTTCACTGCACTAAATCAAGTCATGAGGTATTTTTTTTACCCCCCCCCTGCCATCGTCTGTTGGCAGGGGCGGAGAGGGCTTTTAAACGCGGCACAACAAAATGCAAATCCAATTAACACTTATTGCGCTTCATTATGCTAAAATGCACAATGGCTAAAATCACGCCCCTAATTGCCGAATCAACAACAACTGCAACAATTGAGAGCCAGCTGTTGGCCATGTTTCGTTTGAGCCCAAACTGCAGTCGGGTCATGGCAGTTGAGTTTTGTTGCAGTTGCTGCTGCTGCTGCTGTTGCTGTTGTTGTTGTCTATTTATTTCCATTTTCATATGAAAATTTCGCTTTTTATAAATTGTGCGAACTAGGAAAAAGGAAAAAGTCGCCACACAATATTCTCACACTTTTCCACACTCCACGGCCCCGACACCTGCTGTTCGGGCAGCGATTTATCAGTTGGCTGGTTAAACGCACATCCATTATCACCGCACTTGGGGCTGTTGGGCTGAGTTTGGGTGTTGGGAGTTGGCTGTGAGTCGCGTTTGGCCCCTGGCTAACTGGCTACCGACCGAAGCGCCTCGTCTCGCCCGGCCAGGCCAGGCTTTTTAAGCCTTTAATTGAACAATTTGTAACAATCATGTGCACAAAATAGCGCAACAATTTGGCTTAAATAGTTTTCAATGCAGACGAAAGCGCAAAATTAATGCCATCATTAAAGCTGGTCAAATCGCAGCGATATTCTGCTTCCACCAGACAACAAGTAGAACAATGAGTTGAGCTGTGGATTTACAGCGTCTTATAGAAGCATAAAGAAGACATTGTCTCATAGCAATTCATTTTCCGTGAATAAATAATCGAGCAACTTTAAGCTCTGGAGGAATTCAATTTAGATGTGCCTCATATATTAAGACTAATCGAGAGGATTGAAACTAATGCGAATTAGCCAATTTGTATAAATAAAACCGTTTGTGCAGACTGATAGAATATTTTTTTATTGTAGCAAAATTTAAGCGTCAAGGCATAGAAAACAGTGTGTTTCAGACCATTTACTTAAATAAATTACAGAAGCCTTAACAATAATTAAGACTGTGGGTGAAAAGCAGAAGCACACGCGGCCCGGGCAAGACCGGGAAATACAATAAATATTTAAAAAATTTACTTCATAAAATAAATGAAATTGTCATTTGGTTAACCACTTGGAAATTATAATCAGAAATAAAATTCCTTCACATTACATATTCTTTCTAGCCTTAACCACTTGGGAGTTATATTCAGAAATAATATCCCTTTACATTACATATTCTTTCTATCAATTTTTTTTATACCCTGAACTCATGGAAAATAGGTAAAATGGGTATAATGTATTTGTGCAAATGTATGTAACAGGCAGAAGGAAGAATCTCCGACCACATAAAGCATATATATTTTTGATCAGCATCAATAGCCAAGTCCATCTAGCCATGTCCGTGTGTCTGTCCGTTCGTCCGTATCTATGAACGCAAGGATCTCAGAACCTATAAGATCTAGAAAATTGATTTGGACGTAGTTCCTTCTAGTGCCTGCACAGTTCGGGTTTGTTTCCCATAATCGATAACTTGCCCTGTTACCAAGCAATCGACAAAAATCGATATAGAAATCCTGTTTTGGGAGCAAATCTCTTATGTTTCAAGAGCTAGTGTCACCAAATTTGACATGTAGCTTCTGGAAGTGTAGGTATATATCAAGTATCTTTCATTTTAAAAGTATCGCATAGAAGAGGGTTCAGGTTATCCCCTAGTCGGAAACTCCCGACTAGAGCCTCTTATTTGTTTATATACACATATACATATATATTGTAATATTTTAATAAATAGTGGCAAAGAATCGCGCCCTAAGCCAAGTTCAGAGTCTAACTAGGAAATCACAGCATATTTAAATTTTTGATAGTTTACAATGCTTCACCTCCGCTTCCCCCTCTTCCTCCACACTCCTACCGCTGCACAGCTCATGCTGCCCCTCATTTGAGTCTGCCTTTTATTTTTTTTGTTTTATTTAAGAGGGTAATTTGTAAGCCTGTCTAGTGACTGCCTCTTGAATAATTGACAGCGATAAGCAATCGCATTGCGCTGACATGTTTCACGCATTACAAAATCCAATGAGCCTTGCGTTTCTTTCCGTTCCGTTCGGCCTGGTACGGTTAGGTTCCCTTCCGCGGCGTGTTTGGTGGGCTGCTAAAGAGTCAAGTCTCTGTCAACACACACAGGCACACACACACTTGCACATGCACACCTCAAGTAGTTGCCTCTACTCCTCTCTCTCTCTCTCTCTTCAACTCTGTAAGTGGCTTCATTGCTCTTGGCACGCGAATTTCACACCATTTCCAATTACGTGTACACACTGAGAGGAGCTCACTGGAGCGAGCAGAAGGAGGAGATGGAGGCTGGCACTTGTTTGGCTGCCTATGTAAACACGCTCCACCTACTCGCCAGCCCCTAAAACCATTTTGTGCATTTGATTAATAAAACCTCGCAACGCGCAACAGATGCAAGTCAGCTGATAAGAAACGTATAAACTTACCTAGAGGGGGCGCCCGAGTGTAGGGAACAAGGAGTTGGAGTTAACCAGTAAAATATTGAAAGCCTGGTTCCTAGCGCAGCACCAACAACAGCAACAGCAACAGCAACTCCGACTTCAACTTCAGTCGACTTGTTCTTCATCTCGACGTCAACCGCGTTGTGTGTGGAAAGCTAATCTTTCAATTATAGACAATTTGTCAAATGACTTACAGGCAACAGCAACAAGAACAGCAACAACAACCAAGTTGTTCCCCACCATACAGGGTGCAGCCGGGGAGCGACTCACGTCGACAACGCCTGACGTAAACGAAGTCGTCTGCGCTCAATCATAGACCCATTTATAGGCGTCGAATTACAAGAACAAACTAATCGAAATCATTTATCACGTCCAGGGCAGTGCCAGGCTCTATACACTCGTTTCATGTTCATGCTCCGACGCTATGCTGTGGGCTGCAGGTGGATGGAGTGTGAGGGGGCAGCAATCAGCACCTATTGTCCAAGAGGCGTTCTCCCACCAAGCAGACGGCGAGTTGATTCAGCTTGAGTAATATGATTAATTGGTAAATTATTGGAACTAAAAGGTGGCCCTTTTGTTGTCATGGTCACTCGTGGGCCGCCATATGCCAGCCAAATGGGAGTGCTTTCCAGATGAGTTACATTTCCACTTATCTGGTCAGCGAGAAGCGGGCCAACGAGCTCTTGCGCTGAACGTGGGCCGCCGATGCGTGTCGTAAGTCGGGTAGATTATATTGATTACTCATTAATATTACTATTAGGATGCAGGAAGTGGGCTCGTAAAAGAGGGATTTAGTCTCTTTAGCGCACAACTTTGTTTTTATATGAGATCAATCGTATTCTTAAATCATTAATATTTGATTTACTCAATCGTAACTTTGAAAAAATTAGATATCACATTGTTATAGTCCGTGATAAGGTTTGAATTGTCCCAACACATTATATTTTTAATATGTATGTACATATGTATGTACATAAATATGTCCGTAAAAATTCCCACAAGCCCTGCGTTTGGTATAAAATAACATACATATGTACCTACAATGAGAGAATGAGTTTACATATTAACTGATACATACATACATAAATATATATGTATATACATACATATTCTCTTTTTGCAATACCAGCAGCTTTGATACAAGAGCAAGACATAAAGAGAATTAAAATTTATTAAGGCAAAGCGAAAATGAACGATGCATGTAAAAGACTAAAACGCGTGACAAAGACAACAAGATCACTTTGTAGTTGCCAGCTTGTGTATGCCTTTTATACCGTCTCCCTCCCCCTCTCCCACCTTCTGACACTCATCACATCGGCGCTCACAAAATGGCATTTTGCTTTACGCTTTGGGATCAATTCTCTCAAACTTTGCCTTGTTCTTGTCGCTTACGCACTGTGGATCAAACCATATTTAATTAGAGTAATACATTTGCTTAGATGAAAAAAAAAATACGGCACGTAATCCATTTCTTTTAATATAGCCGTAAAAGAAAATATTTGTTCAATATAAATCAATGCACATGCATATATGTATGTATGTACATATATCTATGTACGTATGTATGCATGCTAAAATTCAAAACCAAGTGTGAGAACATTTAGATCAGTGTGCAAATAAAGAAACTGGCGCACGAATAACTGTAATCGCATTGCGTCCCTTTGTCTATTCCGTTTATGTCGTCTCTAGAGCAGTTTAAATGCTGCAATTCGTCGATTTAGTAGTAAGTGACGCGTTTTGATGTCGACCACGCGTGTGTTTTAAAATTAAATGTTTGTGAGTGTAGTGATGTAGTGAAATTAAGTGTTTTATTTCTTAATTGAGTTCCTTTTTTTTGTTTTTTTATTTGTGGGCACTGCTACCGTGCAAAAGCCATTTGTGTGTGTGAGTTTTTTTGTTTTTTTTTTATAAAGTGCGCAGTGTTTGTGAGATCGCAATACATATACATACATACATATGTATGTGCATATTTACACATGTACATATGTATGTTAAAAACCTTAATGATTTTGTGTGAGGTAAGTTTATAAATTAATATAGTAAATATAATATTATATGTACATATTTACATACAAACATACAAAACGTACAAATTGAAAGAATGTTCTAGTGCGTTTTTCATTTTCGTTTGTTCTTTCGCTTCGCGGCGCAGTATAAAAGTGCTGGGGCTCCCAATGCAAATCCGTTATTCTTTTTTGTGCACTGCCGCACGCACAAAGCGCATTGGAAGAAACATAGGAAGAAGAGATGGTCAAATGGCGTGATGGTGGCGTCAAATCTAGTGTTTGCATACATACATACATACAAACGTATGCTCATATGTATATGTGTGTACATATCTCATTTAATTTCTCTTTCTTTCGGTGCCGTCAAATTTAGTTTGTTTGTATATCTCATTTTATTCCTCTCCCTCCTGGTCTTACCAGCATGTACTTCTGTTTTTCTTTAGTGTGTAAAAGAGTATCTCCCTCACTCTAATTAATAAGTGTTCGGCCTTAAGTGACATTTTGCAAAAATACAGATTCACACATGTATGTATGTAAGGCTATATGTATTTATATTTAAATTAGAATATGCATATGTATATAACATATTATAATTGTCTGCAATAATAAACTCGGCAGCTTCTGGTTATGTATGTATGTACATATGTTTGTATGTACATACATATGTTTCACTTTATTCTTTTGGCATTGCTTACATTGTGTAATGCGTAAAAAATTAATTAATTCAAAAATTATAGTTGGAATATATAAAGAATCGTTTTTTATGCTTGTATAAAGCTGAACATATGTATATGTATTTATATAGTGTATACAAATATACATAAGCCTACCAAACGTTAGCTGGTAAATTTGGATTATCAAAGTAACCTCCGGCCACAGCTAGTAAAAAAACTGTAGCCAAAATAATATCACTATTTATATTGTCCATTCCTAGGAGAATATTTATTGTTATAGTTGCGGGCTTGGTGCGTGGCAACGAACTTCTAATCTTGTTAAAAACGGAATTTATAAAGGCTGCGCAAGCAAGTTGCGTGGCTAAGGAAGTTGCTGCTGCAATACACAAGCAGCCATCGACATGCGTATACCACACACCTGTACACTACACCTGTACACAAACATACTTGACTATTCGCTCATTAGGTATGTAGGGTTGTGGTTGGCTAAAGGCCTGACATACATACACACATATACATACAAACATAACATTTCTAGGCTCATACATATGTAGGTATGTATGTTCGTATATATACTTATATAAACGTACCTACATACTATACATACATATATATACGTATATACATATGTACCTACACACATGCACCTACATACATAAAAATATATACAACAAGCAAGGCTTATTAACTTATATATTTAAAATGTATGTTTTATTAAAATTTACAACTCAGTGTACATATTGTTAAGGAGAAAATGTACAAATGCATACATACAAGTGCACATACATACACACATATATACATAAAAAATTTATGTAAATTTGGCCTGCTTTGGGCATTACAGACTATGCATATATACATAAACACATATGTATGTACATACATATCAGACATTTATACATACATACATATATATTTACATACGAACACACAGACACACATACATTGGTCACTGACGCTGAATCCTTAAATAAGAAATTGGGAAAAAATTATACATTTATAGCGTGTATTATTTCATATTAAATATTATGCAGTATTAATTTATTTGTTTTAATATATTCATAACACTGTCCCAATCTTTGTCTTTTTAAACTAATTTTTTTAAATGCTTTCTTTTGCAGCATGCGCAAAAGTTTCACTGGAGGTTTAAAGGTTAAGCGATCATCAAAAGGAGATTAATTAAAGTAGTAAGTACGAATGACACCTAAAACAATCTGTCTCAATTAATTTGTGCATTTCATTATGCATCGTTCGTTGGGACAACTTTATAAAGTTAGCTTAATGCAAACGCAGTTGCGAATGCATTTGGCAGCTCCAATTTGGCATCGCACATTTATTTGCTGGCCGATTGCGCCGACTGAACGATGCGTCGTCTGCCAGATCATTCGCAGCTGAGATACCCCCCACTAATTGCTGGCAATTTGTTACGTGCTGCCACAGGTACACAGAACGTCTCGAACCAGCCCAAAGAGACGCAGTTCGACGGGGCGTTGCTGTAATGAAATTTAATTATGTTGTATATCAAACTTATTTGCATATCAGGCAGAAAGGTTTTTCCGCGGAAGATAACGAGCCACAAGCCACAAGTTAAACATTGAATGTGTTTCCTCTTTAAAGTATGTACCTTATATACCCTTACAAGGGGTCTTTCAAGTTTTGGTATTATAGGTATTATGTATATCGGATTGCAATATAACATCGTATAGCTGTCATAAATACTATCGGTTGAAAACTGTCTACGAACAAAATCCATATCGTAATATTATAACCAAAAAAAAAGTTAGATGTTTTACCTTTGTCATGAAATGAAATTTATGAATTGGGTCGGGTTTAGGCTCGGCTATTCTTTGTTTAGTTAAATCGGTTAAAGGTTCAGTTTGTGTTACTTGGCACTCGACTAGTGTTTGGTTAAGTAGCTCAGCCAGAGTATTTTAAATTCGGTATCCCAATAAAGTTTTTCTTTACTGGCTTCCTTGTTCTTTGCTTAGTTTGCCTGTTGCGCTTCCACATAACACTTCGCATAAAATTTGTGTGTCTGTGTATAGGCTAGAGATTCAGATACCGAATCTCGAACCGCACAAATTCATTTTAATTGCCTTAGTGCCAAAAAATTAGATTTCATGTGCAAAAAAACCAAATCGTATTTTGTAAGGTTTTCTATTTTTGTTGCTCGTAAGTTTTGCGAACCTATTTCCCAGATCTTTAGCTTGTTGTTAGCCGGTGTCTTGAGCGGAAATAGTTTGTACATAGAGTACCACAGGCCGCACAACAATAACAATAACAAGAACCAGAACAAGGCATAACTGTGCGTTGACCTTTTTTTACGCAGGGGTCTTTGATAAATGTGCAACATTTAGACGCGATTTGGGGCCAAGATAAGTATATAGAGTTTTTCTTTTTCGGTTTGTTTTGTGTGGAATGTTTTTTTTTCTTTTCGGGTTCGCCCAAATGTTGGTACACTCAACAATTTTTAACTGGCGCTGCTTGTTAAATGTTTGTTTTTAGCATTTTTAATTGCTTTAATTATTTATTGTTTGGCTTCGTGCACCGCGCTCTGACGACGGCGACGGCGACGCGGCTGGGCGCCAAATGCTGAAAGACTTAGGCAACGAACTTGGCCGCTCGCTCAATTTGTAGACAGCAGAAAACTTGGCAAAACAGTCGCAACATCTTCAGTTGCTTGCTGCGCAGATTTCAATCAATAAATCAATCAATAATTGTGAAAGCTGTGCACAGTGTCCCATCATCCAGCTAGCCAAGTGTTCCAGCTACAGCCAACTGGATAGCTACCCAGTTCAGATCGCACCAACTCCGTCCGTCCATCATTCATACGCATATTTCAATTAACATTCATGCGTCGCATTTTCCCGTTGTACTGTCCAGTCTCGGTCTGGCTCTGGGTCTGGGTCTGGTTCGGTTCCCAGCTGTCAGGCTGTGGAACGGCCTTTATTGATGGCACCACTAAGATCATTTTTGCGCCTATAGTATAACAATTACATTTTGTCAGCTTCAGCGGCAAAAACGGTAGCCACAGCCGCGGGCGCTTCAAACTAAGCGGCCAGCCAACCACCCACCTTCAATTGAGAGCCAAACAATGGAGCCCCAACTGTTTCTGCCATACACACTTTGCATAGTTGGCAATCATATGTCTGACAAATCCCTTTTATGTGTTCATAAGTAAACTTTAAGTGCCCTAACTGAAATGGGCATGTGAGAATTTAAATGCAGTTTGTTAATAATAATAAGAATACAGTAAAAGAAATATATATATGTAGAAAGATACAAGTAGATCGGCGTTAAACTCTTTTGTAAAGATCTTTGTTAAAATTTGTTTGAGTCGCTTTTCACGCTTTTCGGATCTTACACCCTTGGGGCTTAACTAACCAGAACTAACTTAAAGACTATTAAGAAGGAGATTTTAAAACAAGAGCAAATATATTGAGTGCTATCCAACACCCTCTTAGCCTTTCCTTGTATACATTACGATATTATTTGTTGGCTTTACAGAGCATGTAATATTCGTTTATTTGATGCTCGCAATTTTTTCAATTTTGACATTTTTGTTAAGTCATCAACGCAGACAACGGGACGTTTCTGGGACTGGTTGTTGCTGTTGTTGTTACTGGTTGCTGGTTGCTGGGCTGTTACCTGTGACTGATTAATTTGGCTATTATGGCATTTGGCTTTTTATGCGCACTGCCCCCAAGATTCAGCTTTACCTTAGCCCACCTGCCCACCCCGCTGTGTGGCAAACTCCGCCTTTGATCGTTGGCAGCGAGCGCGGCTGCGATCCGATCGATTCGTTTCGATCTTCTTCTGCTTGTAGCACGTCAAATATTTTTGTCGGCTACGACTCATAATAGCCCCAGTTAATTGCTAATAGCCAACGGTGCAGATTTCTATGTCAGGCACGTCAATGTGGTTGTTTTTTTTAAAGTATTTTTTGTCTTAGCTGCTTGTGTTGCTTATTAAGGTTGTTGTTTGTTGTTTTTGGTCTCGTAAATTTCGAATTTGTAATTTGCGTTCCACGCTCCGCCATGCAAATGTGCATGACGTTCGTTTCGGTTACAGTTTGATGATAACAAATTCATTGACCTAAAAGGGTTTCCATTGCTTACGCCTCATATTATGGGTTTTTCGGGTTATTTTGGTTCCCAGTGATCAGATTTGAGCTCTGATCGCTTAATTGCCGCGCAGCGAAATTTCTACGCGTTGCTGGGTGAAATTTTTACGATGATTTCTTTCGTATATTATCGGAAATATAAAAAAAAATAAAATCATTTTATTTAAATTTTGTTAACGGGGCGCGGCAACAACTTTTCGCTTGCCCCACTCAAC